AAAGAATCTATGAATGCTGAAAATCTGGTTTTTGTTTTTTGTTTGTTTGGTTTGTTTTGTTTTGTTTTGTTTTTTGGTCTTCTTTTTCAATCTTCCAAGTTTCTCAGCTTTCAAGGGGACATAGTAGAGGGGAATTGAGGAGCTGGGCAGATAGAATCAACACCTGAAGGACCAGGGGAACTTGCAGTCCAGGGAAGTGGAACAGGAAACCAGTGCCCAAGAGTCCACAGGTCACTGTGAGCTCACATAAATGAAAGAGGTCAGGCCAGGGATATAGCTCATGGGCACAGAACCCGCCTGGGAAGCGTGAGGTTCCTGAGTTCAAGTCCCAGTACCAAAAAAAAGTAAAGAAAGAGGCCAAAAAAATATCTTTGACCAAAGTGGACCCAAATCATTTCAAGGGGAAGTAACATTGTTGATCTTTGCTTCTTCTACTGCAGAGAATGCAGTGAGAGGGGAAAAGAAAAGCAAGAAATTTCCAAGCCTCTTTTCACACTGGAGGTTGACCTGTGACCTTGATTGGACAAAGTTAGACCAAGCCTTTGTAGACAAGGCAGGAGAGAGCCAACGGCTCTACATTAGATAGAGGAAGGATGTTGTTAATGTTTCTGAAAGCAATGAGGGCAGAAAGAAATCTCCAGGCAACTGAGGCCAAAGCAGGAGTCAAGTTGATGAAAAACGACTTTCTAAGGGGGATGAGGTTTATACAGTCTCTCCCCCAAATACTTTGACACTCTTCCTCCTTGAGAGCTGGGGTTTTCAGTCCCATTCCTTGGATCTGAGATCTGTGTCCGCTTGACCAACAGAAGTGAGGTGACCACCCTGAGGCCAGATAACCTCACCCGGACCTGGCACTCAGCACCTCACCTCTCCTCATACCCTCTCTTGCCACTCACCCTCCTCTCCCACCCTTTTCCTCTCCTCTCCCCACACTGGCTCCAGTGGTTTCCGGGCTGGCCCACCTCCCACCCCAGCCCTGGTCCTCTGAGCCACACGGTACCAGATGGACCCAAATGACTACTCCGATTCTCTCAGTAAAAACGGCATGCCCCAGTGTCCCTCTGATGACTGGTGGCAGAGTTGGGACTGACTAATGGTGGCTCAGAAAAAGTCCCTTCCACGCCAGGGAACCTGCTCCTGTCTGCCACAGAAGAGCCCTGCGTTGGTGTCACATGCTGGTTGCTGCTGACACGCGGCCCCAGAGGTCTCATATTCAGGTCTGTTTTTATTGCTGCGATTCATACAGAAACTTTAGGAGAGAAGGGTTGTCCATAGCCAGAGCAGAATTGGCCTCTCCCAGGCCCCCTTCCTAACATCACCCATGACACTATGAAGCCCGCTGCAGTTTCTGACTCACAAAAGCCACTTCCTGTCCCTGGCAGGTGACTGGGGCAGTAAGAGAGGCCTCAGGGAAACCAGGCTCCTTCTACGTGAGGAACCTCTCACCACACACTGGCAGAACCCATTGCATGGGGTTCTCAGGGTCTGGTGACTGGAGACAACTTCCCATCATAGCTTGTTTTTGCCTCCACGAGAAATCCCTCAGTTCCCAAAGCAGCAAAGTCCCACAGTGCTGGTTCTCAGACTTTAGAGAGCTACCAAAATGCCTGGGCTGCTGTGGCTGTAATTCAGTCAGTCTGAGGCCTGGGGCCCCTGGGCCTCCAGGCTTTGCCCAGCACCCACTCCGGACACCCCTGTGAGGTCAGCAGACCCTACCTGAGAAACATTTCCTTCCCTGGGAATCCCTTCTGCTTGGACTGGCCCAGCCCGGTCACTGTGATCACTAGTGGAAGGCCACTGAAGCAGTGTGAACCAGTGAGTTGATACAGCAGGTTTTCCTAGAGCTCCTATGCGGAACAAGCCAGGCTTCCTCTCCCTGCCGCCCTCCACAAGGCCACGTGTCACCAGCATTTGCTGCTGGCAGCATCTCATGGCCCTGATGGGAATTCACACCCTCAAGATGAGACCAGGGCTGAGGCATCAGAACAGAAACACGGCAAGTACCCAAGACCTAAAGACAGAGTGCTGTCATCAAAGCCAATCAGTCCGCAAGTCCTTCACCCCACATGAGCCAAGATATTTATTAATTTGTAGCTAAATGTGTTAAGCTGAAAAATTTTCATAATTTAATACATGGACAGAAAAGATTTTGGAAGAAATAGGGAGAAAAAAAAACATGATCAGTTTAAGAAGCAGGTTTTGAAAAGAGTAAAACTATCTCCATTTGTGGACAATATGATTTTATATATAGATAATCCTGAAGGTGCCCCAAAAATTTATCAACAGGCTTAGGGCTTAACCATAAATTCAGGAAAACTTCAGAATGCAAAATCAATATACAAAGTCAGTTGCATTTCTAGATATAGTAGTAAGCAACAAACTATTTGAAAAAGAAATTAAGAAAGCATGCCCACTTACAATAGCATCAAAAATAAAATAGTTGTAGTCTGGTATGGTGCTGTACATCTGTAATCCCAGTACTCAAAGGCTGAGGCAGGAGGATTGTTGCAAGTTTGAGACCAGCCTGGGTTACAAATTGAATCAAGGCCAGCCTGAACTGCATAGCAAGACCCTGTCTCCAAAAAAAGGCATAAATAAATAAAATAGTTGAAAATGAATTTAATTAAGTAGATGAAAGATTTATACAATGAAAACTATAATACATGGATGAAATAAATTATATAAGACATAAATAAATGGGAAAATATCATGTGTTCATGGATTGGAAGAATTATTATTGTTAAAATGGATAAAACCCGGGGGTATAGCTCAGTGGTAGTGCACTTGTCTACCATGTACAAGGCCCAGGGTTCCATCTCTAGCACTGAAAAAGAAAGAAATGGGGAGGGAGAGACAGGAAGGAAGGAAGGAAAATTTAGCAGGACACGCAGCACATGGCTATAATCCCAACATTTGGGAAGCTGAGGCAGGAAGACTGCTGTGAGTTTGAGGCCAATCTGAACTACATAGTGAGACTCTGTCTCAAAGACAAATCACAACAAAAATGCAGTGCAAGCCCAATCAGAATTTCAGTGATATTTTTCACAGCAATAAGAATATTAAAATAAGTTTATATGGATTTATAGAAGGCCCTAAAAAGCTAACACAATCTTGAGAAAGAACAAATGTGGAAGCATTGTACTTTCTGATTTCAAATTTACTATAAAGCTTTAACAACGAAAGCAGCGTGCCACTTATATAAAAACGTAAATAGACAAATCAAACAGAACAGAAAGTCACATACATATCAACCGATCTTCCACAAAGGCATTGAAAATGCACAATGAGAAAGGATACTTTCTTTGATAGTAGTATCAGGAAAAGCAGACATTTACATGCAGAAGAAAGATACTGGACCCTTATACCATTTACCCCATATACACATATGAAAATGTATTTCTTGCGGGCGGTTCTACATCATTTTATTATAACTTTGAAGTGAGTTTCAAGGTTGGGAAAAGAGAATCTTCATTATTCTTTTTCAAGATCGCTTTGGCTATTTGAGGAGCCTCGCAATTCCATAAGAATCTGAGAGTCAACTTTCCCATTTTTGTGGCAAAGAAAAAAAAAGCCATTGGGATCTTGCTGGGGATTATGTTGTAACTGTAGATCACTTTGGATATAGCAGCATTTTAACAGTGTTGCCTTCCTAGCCTTGAACATGGGCTGTCTTTCCATTCATTCAGGGCTTCTTTCAGTAACATTTTGCAATTTTCAGCAGACAAGTCTTCTGCTGTATGACTTAGCAATTCTGCTCCTAGATGTGATCCAAAAGAAGTGAAAGCATGTCTCCAACAAATATGTGTCCACCAAGAGTTACGGCATGTTTACAGCAGCATTCAGTGGTGCATAAGTTACATATGATTTATCCATAACAGAGAATAAAATTTCAACATATGTCACAAGGTGGGTGAACCTTGAAAACATTAAGCGAAATAAGCCAGCCACGGGGCAGCCATTTACACAAGGGATTTAGAGTAGACAGACCCTTGGACAAAAGAAGCTGAACAGAGATTACCAGGTGATGGGAAGAGAGGAGAGAAAGAGGCTAATTTTTGTAATGCGTTTGTCACCAGATGGGACCCCAGGACTTCTTCCAGAGAGGAGACAGAGACCACGACTCATTCCCTGCCAAGGAGTAATTAGTAGACTTGCTAACATTACAGAAAGGAATTTCAGGACACATCAGTGAGAGGCAGAGACCTATTTTGTTAGGTAGAGTTAAAGGAGTACATGCTCAAAGAAAATAGAGAGCAGGCCAGAGAGACAGAGACAGAGACGACAGAGACAGAGAGACAGGTCTGGGCTTGGGGATGTGTGTGTTCTTGGAGGTGACCTTTCCAAGGAGTAACCTCAGATGCTTTACTTAAAGACATTTTTTGAAACTCTGAATCTGCTTCTTCACTATAGGTCAGCTTGCTGTCCCTTCCCTTATCAACTGGGTTAATTTACCCCCCCCACCTCCCCACCCCCCCACCCCCGTCCGCAAGTAAATAAACTTGCATCCCAAGGGAGGAGACTAGACAGACTTCAGCCTGAGCTCAGATGAACTTTGTCCCCGGGGTGGTTTCTATCTAAAGACCCTTTCATCTTTCCAAAGACGTCATCCACGTCCCCCACCCCACAACCACAAGAGGGTGTTATAAGCCTCTTAACTCTCCCTGGTTTGCAGTAGTCATTTTTCTTTCCTACGATCACCCTGCCCACACGGTGCAGGTGATAAATTCATGCCCCCTTTCTGGTGACAATCAGCATGGTCTTCTCCAACTCTCAGGGACCTTCTCGCCTCAGCCTAGGGAGGGCTAGGATCACAGGCGCTCGCCAACACTACTGGCTGTTCACTTCTTCCATAGACTCAACCAGGAGACACCGCCCGGCTCCCCTCCCTCACACCCTGCCAGGCCTCCCTCCCTGTCTGCTGACCCCCTCCCCAACACACACGCACACACACATACACGCGCGCACACACACACACACACACACACACACAGCCCCAGGACCTCCACAGATAGCAACCGGACGTCAGGGAACTCTGGCACCACGCAGTTTTCAGCAAGCAGTCAGTAGGGCTCAGAGAGCAGAATGAAACTAAGGACTCACGGTGGGGGGTTTTCTTACTTCCCTTATTAGCAAGTAAGACTTAGTTGAAATTTGCATTTTTCCTTTCGGTTCTTTCCCTCCAGAATTTCAGTACCTGTTTTCTCTCCCTAGCCTCCAAACGCTCCCAAAGTCCACCCTGCCCTCTGATGGCAGCGTGGCGTTATTACAGGTGCCCTTTGGTATTCTGCATTGAATAACTTTACCTGGAAATTCTGGTGACCAGGCATATTTCAGATGCCCGGTTTTCTAGGACTTTAGGATATTCCCGTATACATAATGAGTATCTTGGCAATGAACCTAACCCTACACATGGAATGCCTTTATGTTTCATGTGCATGTTATACACGGTAGCCTGAATGTAATTTATACCATTATTTTTGTTACATTCTTGTTGCTGGAACAAAATAACTGTCACCTACAAGTTAAAGGAGGAAACATTTATCACGGCTCACAGTTTGGAGAGGGTTCAGTCCAAAGGCAGCTGGCCCCACAGCAGAGCAGCATGACAGAGAAGCATCACAGAGGAGAAACAGTTCATGGCAGGGCAGGCAGGGGGCAGGAAACAGCGGCCCCACCTCCTTCCTCTCCCTGTGCAGAAGTGAGGCCCCTCTGTGGAGCACCTCAGATCCTAGGGCGCCTCTCGGATACTGAGAGAAGCCAAAGTTGCTGAGAAGTGGAATGGCATCTGGATCCCACCTGGTGGCTTCCAACAGTGCACAGGCCCTTGGTTCCCACTGGCTTACCCAAGGAGCCAACCACGGACCCTCTAAAACCAGCACCAAATTAAACCTCTCCTCATTTAAGTTGTGGGCACTGGGTATTATGTCCCAGCATGGGAAAGGTGACTAATACAGGAGGGAAGTGGTGCTCATAAACAAGAGAACTTTACGCCGCAAGCCCTGAAAGTTAAAATCATAGTCACAAAGCAATCTTCATATATTTCCCCCTGAGTGAACGTTAAGAACCTTGATAGATCCTCAATGCTTTACTGGACAAATGCTATCAACTTTTCAAGTGTTTGCTACTGGTGTCCTTTTGAAGAATGGTAACTGTGAACTACAGTGTTCTACTTTCAAATTCCCTGCGAAGTGTCACATCTTCCTTTCCTGACCTGCCTGTCCTAAGGCCCTTCCTCCCCAGCTGCCCTAAAGATATTCACGACAGCTATATTCATTATATTCATGTTGTAATCTTCAAAAAATGTAGAAACAAAACACATCCAAACATCAAATGAAAATGTCAGTGGTTTAATTCAACTCAATGAGGAAATCAAAATACGCTAAACTTTCCTCGAAGGAGAATTTGAATAACTGGTTTATATTGCTAGTCAAGTCAAAGAAAGGCGGGGATGAATTTTCCAAAGCAGGACACGTGCACAATTTGTTAATATCCTACTAGTCACTAAACAATCTGACGTCATCTTTACTACTAGACTGTAATTAATTGCATCTGTCTTGTTGGTGCAGAGTTATATGATTAATAATAACACAGTTATAGAATAACATATTTATAGACATGTTATAGCAGGTTAAAATCAAATGGTAGTCCCTGCCTATGCTCCTGCTGCCTGTCACATAACCAGCCTACCAAATTCAGCCAGCCTTGATGCTCAGGTGCTTTTCTTCTGATAATGCACTGGACCAATTCGACTATTCTCAGCTTATGTTTCCCTTAATTAAGAAAATATTTCTTCTAACTGAGTTCAAGGACTTTGGTTGGGGCAAAGTAACCCAAAGATACTTCTTAACTCTGCTTACTCTCCTTGAACCACTTCCTCTCATCCCCAAGATATTCTTGTGTTATGATAAACAACTTTTAAGCAAATATATTTAGAATTAATTTACCTGACAATATGACTTAATTCAATCCATGTAACCAATCATGCAATGTCTTGTATTTCCTGTTCACACATTGTATTTAAATTGAACCCAAAATGGCCTCAGTGCTGATGATTTGGAATTGAGATTCCCACCAGTCGGAATACACAGTTCCCTTTTAGATTCTTTGTGCAAATTGTCTTCCATTCAGTTTGATTCTGGTGTTTCTGTAAGAGTCCCAGACAAAATTCATTCATACTGATAAGCACAAGAGGTACTGGCAAAGCTTTCAGACAAGAATTTTTAAACATTGTTACCAGTTTTCTGCAAGTTAACCTCTACCTCTTAGATTTATAAAATATTCAGGACAATAAAGGTCATAGTTGCACAGCAAGGAAAACTCAGCAATTTATTAATTTTTTGACAATGTAAAAAATAAAATGTGTCCTCTTCTTCAATATAGATCTGGAAACTTTAGTCAGAGCAGTTAGAAAAGAGAAAGAAATAAAAGGAATAATGATAGCAAAGGAAGAGGCTAAATTATCATTACTTGTGGACGACATGATACTCTTCCTAGAAGACCTCAAGAATCCCATCAAAAGACATCTAGACTTAGTACCAAATTCAGGCCCAGGGATTTAGTTCAGTGGCTCAAGTGCTTGCCTGGTAAGTGCGAAGTTAAGAGTTTGATCCCAGGTACCAAAAAAAGAAAGAAAGAAAGAAAGAAAAAGAAAAAGAAAGGAATGAAGAATGAAAGAAAGAAAGAAAGAAAAAGAAATTCAGTGCCATAGCTGGATACGAAGTCAACACTCAAAAATCAATAGTATTCCTGTACACAGATAACAAACTCACTGACAGAGAAATGAGAGAAACTATACCTTTTAAAACAGTGTCCAAAAAATGAAATACTAAGGAATCAACCTAAGGAAGAAAATAAAAGACTACACTACACTAAAAAAGGAGAGCAAAGAGGATATCAGAAAATGGAAAGATATCCCTTACCGTTGGGTAGGAAGGATCAATATAGAGAAAATGCCATACTCCCAAAATTGTTATACAGACAATGCAATCTTGATCAAAATACCAATAGTATACCTCATAGAATTAGAGAAAACAATCCTAAAACACATTTGGAACCAGAAGAGACCTAGAATAGCAAAACAAGTTCTGGTTGGCTGGGGATATAGCTCAGCTGCACAAGCACCTGCCTGGCAAGGTCTTGAGTTTGATTTCAGTAAAAAGGAAAGAAAAGAAATTCTGATCAACAAAGGCAAGACAGGTGGAATCACAATTTCCAACTTGAGGGTCTGGGGATTTAGCTCAGCGACATAAGCACCTGCCTTGCAAGCAGGCAGTCGTGAGTTCGATCCCTGGTACCGATAAAAACAATTTCCAACTTGAAACTATATTATAAAGCTACAGTGATTTAAAAAAAAAAAAAACAGCATGGTACTGGCCAAAAAAAAAAAAAACAGACCTGAGGATCAATGGAACTGATTAAAAGATGCAGAAACAACTCCAAATGTACTCAATCACCTCATTTTTGACAAAGAAACCAAACACCTTCACTGGAAGAAAGATAGCCTCTTTAATAAATGGTGCTGGAGAAAGTGGCTTCTCGTGTGTCAAAGAGTAAAAGTTGACCTGTGTCTTTCATCATGCACTAAGCTAAGATCAAAATGGCTCAAAGAACTAAATATTAAAACAGGAACACTGAATGTGGTGGAAGATAGAACAGGTAGAACTCTTCAAGACATTGGTGCATGCAAAGACTTTAGGAACATTTAGGAACAAAACCTCAACTGGACAGAAAATATCACAAAGAATAAACAACTGGAATCTCATTAAAAAGCTTTTTCACAGCAAAAGCAACCATCAACAGAATGAAGAGACAACCCACAGTGTGGGAAAAAAAATCTTGCTAGCTGTTCCTCAGACAAAGGACTAACACCTAGAATACATAAAGAACTTAAAAAATAATATCCTCCCCCCAAATTACATGGTTTTGTTTTGTTTTTGGTACCAGGGATCGAACTCATGACCACATGCTTGCAAGGCAGGTACTTATGCCACTGAGCTAAATCCCTGGCCCACCTCTCCCAGATTTAAAGACCCAATCCAGAAATGAGCATCTTAAATGAATAAACACTTCACAGATGAAGAAGTAGAAATGGCAAATAAATATATGAACAGATGTTCAACATCGAGTCATACAAATTAAAACACTGAGATTCTATCTCACCCTAAAAATGGCAATTATCAAAAAACCAACCAATAACAAATGTTTGCAGGTCTGTGGGGAAAAAGGAACACTTCTCCACTGTGGGTGGGAGTATAGACTGGTGCAACCACTGTGGAAATCAGCATGGAGATTCCTCAAAAAACAAGAACTAGAAGTTCCTCTAGTTATTCTTTTGTTTTGTTTTGTTTTGTTTTTTGTTTTTTAGTCTTTTTGAGACAGGGTCTCACTATGCAGTTCAGGCTGGCCTTGAACTTACTTTGCAGCTCAGGCTGATCTCAAACTCTCAGTGACCCTCCTGCCTCAGCCTCCCAAAGGCTGGGAGTACCAGCATGCACCACCATGCTCGGCTTTCTCCAGCTAGTCTCCTTTATGTCTTTCTTCCAGAAAGAAATAAAACCATCACGCCACAGCAATATATGCACACTCATGTTAATATCAGCATTTGGTAATAGCTAAATCTTGGAAACAGCCCAAATGCCCATCAACCGAGGAATGAATAAAGACGTGGGGTTTTTTATGTGATGGAGTACTCTCGGCCACAAAGAAAGATAAACTTAGACTTCTAGGTAAATGGATCCATCCTAAGACCATATTCAAGTGAAACAAATCAGACACACATGCTTAAATACTGCTCGGTTCTCTGATGTGAAAAGCTGAAACTGTCAATAAGGACCAGAATGTATAACAAATATTGTGAAATAGGAGGAAATGGTTCAAATGGGAAGGAGGAATATGGAGTGAGGAGAGGGAGAGGAAGGTAGGGAAAAGAAAAAAAGAGAGACTAAAAGGAGAAATCGAAACAAAGCTTTTATAAATAAGGAAAAGAAGAGAGCTTGAAGAGAAGGGAGGGAGAAAAAAGAAGAATCAAGATACATTGCATAGAGGTACAAATATCCTGTGATGCATGCGATCATTGTGCATATC